GACGTATACCCTTGTTTTATGTTCATTTCTGTTTAAAGCCACCTTATTTAATACATATTTTTGATTTATCAACATCGAACTCATGGCCAACAGCACTATAACTCATGCCTGAGTTGCATGCCTTCTTGGACTTAGGAACATCAGCACTACTTTGAGGAGTATTTTATTTTATTTTATTTTATTTTATTTTATTTTATTTTTCTTCCAAGTTTTCATTTAAATAGTAACTAACATACAGTGTAATATTACTTTCAGGTATAGGGTTTAGTGATTCAATACTTACATACTAAACTTTGTGCTCATCACAAGTGACCTCTCTAATCCCCATCACCTATTTTATCCATCCACCCCACACCCCAAGTAACTCCCCTCCAGCAACCATCAGTTTGTTCTCTATTGTGAAGAGTCTGTTTCTTAGTTTTCCTACACTTTCCCCACCCTACATGTTCATTTGTTTTGTTTCTTAAATTCCATATGTGAATGAAATCATATGGCATTTGACTTTCTCTGACTGACTTATTTCACTTAGCTATATATTCTGTAGCTCCATCCACACCATTGCAAATGACAAGATTTCATCTTTTTTATGGCTGAATAATATTCCACTGTGCACGTGCATGTGTGTGTGTGTGTGTGTGTGTGTGTGTGTGTGTGTGTGTATACACCACTGAAGGCCATTTTAAATAACAAAATCACCAGCAAGAAGTAGAAAATGCAAATAACGTGGCACCAACTAGACTTCAAAAAGCACTTATTTATAGTGTGAGAACTGAAACAAGAATGAAGAAATTTGCCTGAACTTTATTTGGTCTCAACTGCAAACATATACATTGTATGACTCCAATTTTTTACCTCAATGTTCATATCCATGAATGCCCATAAAAGCAATGTGAATATTGGATTTGGGGGATTACAAATAAATTTTAGTGAGTAGGCAAATTCACAAATACAGAATCTATAAACAGTGAGGATCCACTGTACTTAGAAGTAAATGTTTATAGGTTGCTATAAAGGAGTAACCTAACCATATTTTTTTAGAGGTTGGGTTATTTAAACATTTTAAGGCACTTTTGATTGGGTCATAATTATTCAGTCTGGAACATTAATATTGGGAGGAATCTTAAAGATCTATTTTTATAGGTAAAGAAGATTGATCCTGCTTTTTACTAGAAAAGCAAGTGCACTCTTTGAAGCTGTATTGCTCCCACACCTTTGGGAAAGACACCTTTCCCAAAGTTGCATTATAAATCACATAGTGGCTCAACAGAGCCTAAATCTCTTATCCCTTGATCCTAAGCTTTTAATTACTGTTCTACCCCATACAGCATAGGATTTAATGTTAAGGTTGAGATCGTATGAATGATTATGCCAATTCCTGGTTTGAATCCATTCAAAAAAAAATTAAGGAGTTCAACACAGCAAAAGCAATGAGCATTGACAGTTAATCTTGATAATTTCACTAGCATCAATGGTAGATCTTCTATGAGTCTAATTTTTATGATGAACATATCTTTTATTTCACCATACCCAACAGAGATGTATGCTCTCTGCATACACACAAACTGGTTTTAGTCTTCAGCACAAACTATGAGTAAAGTCAACCAGGGTGGATCTTAAAGGTATTATTAAAATGATAAAGGTAGGGGCGCCTGGGTGGCGCAGTCGGTTAAGCGTCCGACTTCAGCCAGGTCACGATCTCACGGTCCGTGAGTTCGAGCCCCGCGTCGGGCTCTGGGCTGATGGCTCAGAGCCTGGAGCCTGTTTCTGATTCTGTGTCTCCCTCTCTCTCTGCCCTTCCCCCATTCATGCTCTGTCTCTCTCTGTCCCAAAAAATAAATAAACGTTGAAAAAAAAATTAAAAAAAATAAAATGATAAAGGTAAATAAAAAAACTTTTATAATATATACAGTATCAAAAACTAGATTTTCATTCCTAACTTTTTTATATGATATATTCATCATATCGTTCAGATTCAACAATGTCACATTCAAATGACTCAACCTCTAAAAGAACTATGGTTATGTCACTAGTTTGGGCACTAGTGACCCAAAAAACATTTATTTCCAAGTATGTCTATTTTGAAATTAGGGATAGTTTAAATATTGAGTGATTGATTCTAACACAGATGCTGGATAGATAGATGAACAGAAAGAAGGAAATTTGGTGTCTGAAACAAAAATATACTTAATCATTTTGATAACATATTCCACTGGAATGTCTCTGTATCCAAGACATCTTTGTCTCTGGGATTAATGATTTTCATTTTGTTCTCAATTTGCTACAGTAACCAGAGATCAAATTTTAATATTCTATTGAGTTAAAGTCACTAATTATTTCAAAAAGGCAGAGAGAAGAGATTTTGTCAAGAATTGGTTTATGAAGCCTGAGCTATATTCTGAAGTCATAAATACCTCTTCTTTAGAGTCCTTCTTCAAATTTGACTGCAATTTTAAAAGGGTTCTATTGCTTTTTAAAATGGATTGTCATGGGTCATTAACTGTCCCAGAACTTTAAGTATTTCCTGCACTAGGAAATCAAGGATGGAACTGACAGCCTGCTGGACTGAAAGTCAAATGACCTGGAGTCAAGAGACCACTGACTAATTGAGGGAAATTCTGTTTGAGAATGGGAGTCCATGGACAATGGATAATTATCCATCTTACTTAGGGTCATTGATTAAACATGAGTGAATTTTTTTAATGTTCATTTATTTTTGAGAGAGAAACAGAGCACAACCAAGGGAGGTGGAGAGAGAGACACAGAATCTGAAGCAGGCTCCAGGCTTTGAGACAGGCTCCAGCACAGAGACAGATGGGGGCTTAAACTCACAAGCCATGAGATCATGCCCTGAGCCACCCAGGCACCCTATGAGTTACTTTTTTAAAGGGTTATGTTTTGGGACACCTGGGTGGCTCAGTCCATTAAGCATCGGTCTCTTAATTTTAGCTCAGGTCATGATCTCACAGTTTGTGAGTTCAAGCCCCACATCGAGCTCTGTGCTGAGCATGTGGAGTCTGCCTAGGATCCTCTCTCTCCCTCTATCTCTGCCCCTCCCCACTCATGCACACTCTTTCTCTCTCAAAATAAATAAACATTAAAAAAATAAAGGGCTATGTTCCACAAAAACAAATAACAATAATAATGTAGAGGCTATTGTGAAGAGTACAGACTTAGAGTCTATAATTTCATGTTTATAAAAATCTTAGATTCTATTTCCAATAACATAAATGTTGGAAAACCTAATGCTATGTGACAGTTACTCAGGCTTCCGATATCTGGTTAAATAAAGACCAGAAATAAGTTTCAAAAGTATATTGAAGTTCATTCCTGAATAACTTCAGTAGTTCTTATTTTAATTATTAAAAACAAAACCTATGCAGAATAAGAAGTAGTCTCAAAAATGAGCCAACAAAAGAAATTAATAACCTAGCTAAGAAAGATCTTGGGCTTTGGAGTCAGGCAAAATTCACTAACAATTCAGGTTAGTCATTTGATTTCTTCAGGCTTCCTCAATAAATCAGTACAGTGATACCTATATGGTAGGTTGGTTGTAAGTTCTAAATGAGATAATGTCTAGAAAGTACTTTGCATTTCTATTATATGTAATATAACTGTGTAAAAGTTACCACCAAATTTAGTGGCTTAAAATAATACATATTTATTATATGACAGTTTCTGTGGGTCAGGAATCTGGGCCAAATTTAGCTAGATGCCTCTGGCTTGAGTTCTCTCATGAGATTGCAGCCAAGTTTTTGGCTGGGTCTGAAGTCTTGTATGAAAACTGGACTGGAGAAAAGATTTCAAGCTAACTCATGTGGGCTTCTATTCCTTGGGACTATTAGATTGAGAGCCTCATTTCCTTGCTGACTGTTGGCCAGAAGCCTCTCTGTTTCTTTTCATATGGACCTCTCCACAGGGCTACGTGGTAATATGGCAGGTGGCTTTCCCTAAAGTGAGCTGTCCAAGAGAAAGAGAAAGAGAACATTTAAAACAGAAAATGCAGTCTTTTTACAGCCTAACATCAGAAGTGACATCCCATGACTTGTGCCATATTTGATTCATTAGAAGCTGATCAGTAAATCCACTCAAGAGTAGGGGATTACACAATGATGTTAAGTCAGGAGTTTGGGGTCATTGAGGATCATCTTCAAAGCTATTGAGAGAATGGTTACGGTTCCAAACAGGTGGATTTAAACATCCCCTGATCATAACAATTATAATAACAGAAATCTTTCTATGGAGCTTGTTATTGCCAAGCAGTGTTTTAAGTGTTTGTATACATATTAATTAATTTAATCCTTACAAATTATCATGCTTCTTTTGAAGATGAGAAAATAAAGTTAGAGAGAACTTGTCCATGAACCAAAGTGTCCATGGTCACAGAGCTTATAGTGTTATATTTGTAATTTGAATTCAAGCAGTTCCAAAGCCTAGAGTCCTAAATATTATGCCGTACTACTGCACAATCAGTAGCCCCTAACCTTTATGACTTTCTCAGGAATCTGATGAAAGATATGAATTCTTTTCTAGAAAAATATACTAAGGTATTTTCTGTACCATTTTAGAGGGTTTTCAGAAACCCTGAAATTCACAGATGGACACCTGATGTAGAACCCTTGTCTATATATAATGCTACAACTTGAATAGAATTCAGTAAAACCTAGATTTCTTCATAGCACAAGCTGGTGTAGTAAGGAACAGACTGTGAATCAGTAGAACTGAGTTTGGATTCCAGCTCGATAGGTAAGTCATTTCACTTGAAGCCACAGTCCTTTTATCTGTAAAATGGACATAATCCTTTCTCTATGTAAGAACTAGCATACACTGAGTGTAAAAACTCACATATATTACTTTGTACCATGCACTGTTCCAAGTGTTTTTCTCAGAGTATCTAATTTATTAATACTAACACATCCTCCCTTTTCCCTGTGAGATAGATATAATTATAATCCTGTTTTAGAGCTAAGGAAACTGAAACCCAAAGAGGTGAGGTACCTTGTCTACGGTCACATGGTAAGGGGCAGAGTCAGAATTTGAACCAAGTCAATCTGATGTTGAAGTCCATATTCTTAAATGCTGCACACCATAACCTTCTGGGGCTACTGTAAGAATACAATAAATATGCAAATATGAAAATATTCCATAAATGGCAAGTGCTAAACCATTCCAGATACATAGTTGAAAGAGAAACGAAATTTATTTGTATTGCAATCATGTAACTTCACAGCTGTGAGACCTTAAACAAGACTTTTTAAACTATCTGGACCTCTGCTTCCTCAACTATAAAAAATTAAAAATCATACATCTCTTCCCTTTCTTAAATATGATGCCTACAGGAAGACATTAAGTAAACTGTAAAGCATTAAGTTAATGTTGGTTCTTATATTTATTTATATTTCATCTAATTACCTTGACAAAGGTCCTTAAAGTGGATAAATGGTATTTCAAACTCAAAACCTTGAGTTTCTTTTATAGAGGATAATCTCCAGAAAGTATCAAGGCTGGCTACATTTGCTAATGCCTCAAATATACATATATATATATATATATATATATATATATA